TCGCCTTTCTTAGATGAGGCGAAGCGCCCGGAAAGAGGTAGGCGGTGAAGCCGGCAATAAACTGACTAACAAAGAGAATGCAGGTCACTATTCCCAGCCAGCTGTGCAGTGTGTAGAGGTGGCGACTGTCCGCAGATGCGCCTCCCTTGGCGATGACCACTGCCGTCAGCGCCAGCGCGACCAGCACTGCAATCGTCCCATTCATGCTCGCATGGCCAACCTTAAGGCTCCACTTCTGCACGCCTCTTCCCGTTCGGTAGAGGAGGGCGGTGTTGCTGTACAGCAGCACAAAGCCGAGCACCATAAAGAGAGGGTGGAAGTTGAAGTAGGCACTGGTGAAGTTGAGGCCGCCCCAGTACTTGATGAGCACCACCAGCAGCAGGACGAAGATGAGCAGTCCTGTCAGCTGTGTGGCGATGTACACTCGCTGGTAAACTCGGTTGTTTGATGTTTCCATTTTCAATTAAAAAATATGCTTTGGAAAACCAGACAAGGCAGTTTCAATGATTCATTGGAAGCAAATAATAATGATTTTATATAAGGTGAATCAGATTCAGGTTGTGTGCAAAAAGAAATTACCCGTGTTGACTTATCCTCCATCTCTAAGCAGATTTCTCTCTTTATTTACTCGTGTTTGCAACCATTGCACACTACATCTGCTACACAGGTACACACTCAGCACGGATTGCTCTAATCTTTCCCTGATATTACCTAGGCACATGGTGCACTAAAAAACGTGCTCAACTAAATAGTGCACAGCCGTCGGCACTAAACAACTTATAATCAGTTTTGGGTGATTTACTTTCTTGTGCCGGTTTTGGGAGTGGGCTGTTTTAGGCTGAAATTGGCTGTAAAAGTAGTGCCCAGCAAAGCACTAACTGGCTGATGTTTTTCAGTGTACCGATTATACTGTTTTTCTGTGTGCAGGAAGACTGAATTTATCTTGTTGTTTTTTGTTTTTTCACAAAAACTTAACAAAAGTTTAATTAATTAGGTCATTTACCACAGAAACTACAAAGTGAACTTTGGCTGTGCGTGCACATTTCAAAGTCAGGAAATCACCAGTCACTTTAGCAGCAGCAGCTGAACAGATTAAACATGAGGGTCCTGTCAAATGGTAGTACTCCACCACGATGACTCTCTTTCTCCATTTGATTTGGGTCAGCGGGGAAAAATCATTGCAACCAGTCAAACGTTGCAACCGCAGCAGATCACTACATTGCAAATGGCCTGGCGGATGACTGTGAAGCGAAGATGACAAGAGAATGGACCGATTCAGTCTCCTTCTTCTTTTTCTTCTTTTTCTCCTTTTTCCCAATACCAGTTCGGCCAACTTTCTCTTTCAAATCGCCTGGCTTCAGCGAACCTACGCTTGTCAGGCGCAATACTACGCCGAACTGCAGACGGCACTGGCAAGTAATCAAAAGGCACAGGTGCTCGCTCCGAAGGGCATCATCGACAACGACTGCTCATCGTTGATCTGCGTCCTCAAGTTTAGCCACAAAATCACGCAACAACTTCCGCCCCGAGTGCCGCCTTTTCCGGTTCCCAACTTTATTCCCTGCAATACAAAAGCCAACTCGGCGGCCACTCGCCAGGGAAAACTTGGGGTAAGCTTTAAAGGAAAAAAAGTGTAGCATTAAGTTCACTTTTAATAATTTTTAGCCGGGTCAAATGTGCTACACGGATGACAATGGGAATACAGCCTGCCGGACAGTGGCCGAAATCGGCAACATCCTCAATCCACCTAATAATGGTGGCCGTTATTGGGGAAAGGTCGTGAGCAAGAATGAGCCCATTGAAATTGATTTCGACTACGATGTGATGAAGAATGGTGGGGATCATCAGGTGACTGCGGCAACGACGGCAACAACGAATCAAACTAAACTTGGACATTTTTAGCTTTAATTTTTTTGCATTTAAAAATTTGTGTTTTTAATGCTTCTGCAAAAAACTTAATTTTATTGGTAAGCTATTATTTATACATTTTTGAATGAGCTAAAAGTATTTTTACAATTATGCAAACAGAGTTTGGTTGCCGGTGTTCATCAAACTGTTCACTTTTTAAAATCAAACATGAAACACTTCTTGATATCTGATTGTAAAGTTTATTGATTAAAAAACCACAATTTTTTAACAAAATTCAACATAACCATTTGACTAGTTCTGTGAAGTATGTGTGTCGGAAATAGTCTACTACCCAACGGCACAAAGCAAAAAGTTAACACGGAAGTGAGGGATCGCAACAAAAACTCACCATGATAAAAGAAAGGGAGACACATCGATAAACCATTTGAGCAACACGTAACTCAAATCCAGTGTCCTAATTTGAAAATATTTTATATAAAATGGTGGGTTCATTTTTTCGGCACTTCCTAAATGATGTTATGTAAATGATGATTGGTGACATTATTACTGACATACCTTTAATTGTTTAATTGTAGCAAAATGCACAAACTTCAGTTCATCACCCTCTTCAGCCTGTGTCTACTGGCGGGCCTGATTCAGTTCAGCTACGCCAACTTTGCCGCGGAAATCGGCTGGCTGCTGCGCACCTGGGCCTGTCAGGCGAACTACCAACAGGAGCTGCAGACTGCGCAGAACAACAACCCCAAGGCGCAGGTGGTGGCGCCCAAGTTCAATGTAAGTTTTCCTTTTTCTGATGAGCGACTGGTAACTGCTGCTTAACTGTCGATTGTCCATCTGCCACTGCCACTAGACGGACAACAACTGCACCAACCTGGTGTGCGTCCTCAAGACGGGCAACAGCAAACAGCAGCAACAGCTGCCCACCCGAAACCCGCCCGCCGTAGTGCCCAACTTTGCCCCCTGCAACACCAAGGCGAACATAATGAACAAAAACACCGGCGGAAAGTTGGGGGTAGGATTTTCAATTTAAATGAAGGAAAACCGAATTTTTACTTTCAGAGTTGTCTAATGCATTACCCTTTTTGTTTGTAGCCTGGTCAGGTGTGCTTCACACAGAACGCTCAAAATAATGCCCCGTAAGTTCTCTTTTTTTATTTGAAAAATAACAATTTGATTCTTTTTTTCAAGGCAATGCCTGACTCTGCAACAAATCGGCAACATCATCAACCCGCCCAATAATGGAGGATTCAGATCGGTTGATGGGCTCTACAATGACATCATCGATTTGAAAGCGTTTAATGAAACTCTAATGGAGCACTTCTACGATTAACAGTTAACTAGAATTTTTAGCGCAAAATTCAAATAAAAGCATTTTTAATTTGGTTTTACATCACGGTTTAATTTTATTAATGAAAAAAAGTTTCATTTTTTAACAAACATTTCACACTTGTTCAAACTAAAAATTCAGTTCAAAAAACAAAAAAATAATTACTAGGAAAACAATTCAAAACGAACTAAATACTGAACTAAATATAAATAAATAATTAAAACTGAAAAAAATGAGAATCATGGTCAAAATTAGAAAAAATGAAAAATACTACTTTAGTTGTGCGACTTTAGTTGAGCAGCAGCAGCTTATTGAAGGTGTCCAGACTTTTCCGGTGCTTGCCCGTCGTCAGCTTATTCAGCGCCAGTGGAATGATGCGATTCGAGGCGGAGTGCTCGTCGATGTCGCGGGTAAAGCGCGAGATGCTCAGCGCGTAGTTCAGCCCATCGTCGTCCTCGTAGACGGCGGGAATCAACTTCCGACGCAGCTCTTCAATTTTCTTCTCTTTTGCCTTTATCTCCAGTGCGACTTTCTTTACAAGAGAGTCCTCTTTCTCCTCTTCCTCCTCTTCTTCATTTTTTGATTTCTCTAGTTTTTCAGTAGATTCAGTCGCAGGTTTGCTGTTAGTTTTCTCCTCAGCTTCCTCGGTTTGCAACTCCTTAGTGGTCTGCTGCTCTGCTGATATGTTTTTGTCAGCGCCTTCTTCAGAAGTTGAGGGATCGGTGACCAGCGGCCTAGCAATCTCTTTAAGGGTACAGGTGGACGCCAAGTGCTTCAGTGAGATGGGCTTGGAGCTGGCTGTCACATCTCCGGTGCAGAGTGTGTTCAGCACTACGACACTGCCATCGCAGACACCTGATTTGGAAAAAGCTATATTTGGATTTTCGCTGAGATAGGACAGGCGGGGCACTCCTCGGTACCGGCGAAGATTCTCCGCAGCCTTTCGCGCCGACGCCTGAATGCTGGCCACCATCTCTTCGGTGGTCATTTCACTTTCTCTCTTCTCCTTGGCTTCCACTGGTAGAGCTGGTGGTGGTTGAAGTGGTGGGAGCTGTTGCGCAGGATAAGAATTTGGTGGCACCTCATACTCTGTCAATATAAAAGAAGTAAAATTGTAATTAGTTTAGAAAGTTGTTTTAAAGACAGAAAAAACAGGATCACTTACGTAAATCAGGAAGGTACGATGAAAGTTGTTGCTGTGTATCAGAATTTGTGGAAACGACAGCATTCTCCTCTTCATTGAACAAGCGAAAGGGCGACAGCGTGGAAAGAAGGTCAATGCTGGAGAAGGGATCATCACCGCCAAAGTCGGTCGTTGAAACGTCGCCAAAATTACTCGTGCTGTTGAAAGCAATGCTGCTACTGTTGTTGTTGTTTGTTGGCACTGAAGAAGAAGATGATGAGGAAGAAGAAGAGGGATTGAACGACTGTCCAAAAACTGCCAAAGAAGAAGAAGAGGAAGAAGAGACAGCTGGAGCAGAGGAGGTGGGCGGGTAAAGTGTGCTGAAGGAAGGAAGAGCACCGGTAGAACTACTGGAGAAAACTGCAGCCGAGGTGTGCATTGAAAGTGAGGTTGAACTTTTCTGGTCAAAAAGTGTCTGATTTGTTGATGGCTGACTCAAACGATGGAAGCTGGAACTGGTACTTGAGGCAGTGAGACTCAACTCCAACGGAGTGCACTTTGCATAGTTCTTTGCATAGCTCACCAGTGCCTCCTTTTTGGTCAGTTTGCTGTTGGTAAAGTGCCACAGCTTGGCGGCCGCCTTGTAGTACACCGTGTCCGGGTGGTTGTACTTCATCGCATTGTCGCAGATCAACTTGACGTCTGCTATAAAGTCACCTAGGTTTAGGTACTTTGAGGATTGTTGTTGTTGCTGTTTTTGACCTTCAATGGCCGCCTGCATCGTGGTGAGATCCATAGGAGTGGTGATCAGAGCCGAGTAGCCCGGCGCAATGGCATCGGTGACCGGGTAGAGGAAGAAGTTCTGCGCGTCCTTGCGTTTGATCTGTCGCAGCAAGTGCAGTAACAGATCAGTAAAGTCCTTCTCTGGTTTGCCCTTCTTTGGTCGCTTACGACTGGAGTGGACCTTTCTGCTGCTGCTGCTGCTGGACAGTTGTTGGTGTTCCTCACTTTGGCTGCGATTTCGGCCTCTTGAGGAAGAGCTTTGTTTGCTGCTCGGTGATGTGATGATGGGCTGGTGGTGAAGGTGGTGATGATGCTGATGGTGATCATTTGGCACTGTCAACAAAGTGGTTGCTTG